GGCAAAAAAAAAAAAGGAAAGAAAAAAAGATTAAAAAAAAAGAGAGGGGAATGTATTTCCACTATAAAAAAAAAAAAAGAAAATAAAAAAGTTCTCGTAAAACGGAGGCTGCTGAGGACCCTCGTCCGCCTGCAGTTATCTCCCCAAAGCATCCCTGGAGCTGTTATTTTCCTTTTTTTTCCCTTTTTTCCCCCCCCTTTCTAACAGGCAATACAGGAAGCTAATTTTCTCAGCCGGCTGATGTAAATTGAAGAGGGGTTACCATTCCTCGCAGCCTCTGGATACAAAGACTTCCTCAGGCTTTTTTCTTTTTTTTTTTTCCCCTTTTTTTTTTCCCCTCTCCCTTTTTTATTGCCACTTAAACCCTCCGTAAAACGACTTCGCGGCCCTCTTAAAACCCGAGTCCTTAGCGAAGCTGCTTAAAGAGACGAGAGGGGAAAAAAAAAAAAACCCAAACTCACAGAAAATAAAGATCGAACTGCGAAAGGAACCGGTAAAAACTTATCAGGGAACTTCAAAACAAATTGGACTCGAAAGAACATAAAAGTGGGGGGGAGTGTAAACCCTCCGTAAAACGACTTCGCGGCCCTCTTAAAACCCGAGTCCTTAGCGAAGCTGCTTAAAGAGACGAGAGGGGAAAAAAAAAAAAACCCAAACTCACAGAAAATAAAGATCGAACTGCGAAAGGAACCGGTAAAAACTTATCAGGGAACTTCAAAACAAATTGGACTCGAAAGAACATAAAAGTGGGGGGGAGTGGAAGGGGGGGGGAAGGAGCCCTGGCCTCAGATGTTAATTTGAGCCTCCAGAAACACGTTGTTGCTGGGAGTTTTATAGCCCAATAATCAAAGTAAAGCGAATTATCCGAGCGCTGAACGTAGTCCTTCAAGCAGTTCTGCTTTACAAAGGACAGATTCTGTAGTAAACAGCTTTTTGCCCATAAACCATTTATACAGAACAGAGATTTAAAACCCACCTAATGACACCTAAAGCATAAAGCAATGCTTATTCTTAAATGTGCATTGTGCCTTTAAGAGGCACAGATCCATCTCTGTCTCTGACTTGACATCTTCCTCAGGGAATGACTTCTAAGAAATAAAATATATTAAAAGAAAGTGCAATCAGAGCCTCTCATTATCAAAGGGATAAAATATCAATTTTTGTCAAGATAAAAAGCATCACAGATGGGCTCTGATGGGAAAAATTTAATTCTTGGTCTTCACTTGATTTGATATTTATCACTCCATTGCTCAAGAAATATCCTGACAGGGAATTTTTCTTAAAAATATTATCCTGTATTTCTCCTGCAGTAAGAAAGCTATGAGAGTTTTAACTTGTGTGGTTTGTTACACATGAAAACCTCACAGAGAAAAAGGAAAGAAAACAGACCTACCTACAAAAGGCACCTTCTAACTCTTCACTATGTCAACAGCTTCACAGTAAAGGACCTTCTGCAGGTTCACCTCATCTGTGGCATCACTAAATTAACTGTTACATCATTGCTGTCCAATCTATCCTAGATTTTAGAACTACATTGCTCAGAGCTGATCCCAAAAGAAATCCTTGCTTTTCACAGACAAGAGACTGATGAGGTAAAGCTGTCTCCCAATTCTGAATAATGAATCTTGTCTTGATGGCAAGTTCTTAGATGAACTCCCCAACCAATTGAGAATGCAAACAAGGGAGCAATATAAAAGGTCTTTCAATCAGATCATCACAGCAGCAAAACTGGTGTTGGCCCAATGATCTTGTAGCGTGACATAAGCAGCACCATTTTTCATTTTCTAGACTATGTGACATGTTATGTAACAGACACAAAGCAGTGTTTGACTAAACTGGCAGTATTTATCACCAGAATGATATCTTTGAACTAGAAGACTATCCCACTGTCCACACCTGAACGGTACAGCTTCCTGCCTACTTTAGCCTTGACAAGAAACCTACTTCTATGCATAAACTCTTACCTTGATAAAGACCAAAGTTGGAAGCACTTACACTTTATATCTAAAACATGATAAATGGAACTTCATCTTTTTTTTTTTTTTCCTCCCCTGAAATGGGGGTTACTTACGTGGCTGGGAGCGCTCCTGGACCAGCCGGGAGGCAGAGCATCTCTGGAGGAAAAGAGGGGGAGAGAAGTTTGGCCGCCACTTCACCCTTCTCTCCCCTTTTTCTCCCGGCTTATTTTGGCGAGGAAACAATGCCATAACACGCAGCGCATCTGCCCCAGCTCCCCCCTCCTCTTTCCCCGTACACCCCATTACTATGGTAAAAACCTACAAAGCCTCTAAACAGCGATGGTGCCTCTAAATCTATGTCCGCGGACACAGAAGGTACATCGTTGGGAGAGGCAGAGGGTCAGGAGGGCTCGGGGGTCACTTGCTCGCCTCCAATGGAGCTGCTGGGAGAGAAAAGTTGGCCTTTCCGTGAACCCGCTTTTGCCGTTTACCCGAACTTCAATAAAGTTTTCTTTCAGCCTCTCTACATGGAGGCGTCAAGAG